TTATATCATGTTTCGAAATGCAACAAGCATTAATCGTTTCCATTTTCACTCATTTTTCTAATAAAATAAATAGTTCCAATGTTGTAACTATAAAATTACAATACAATCATGATTTGTTTTTGCTAAATGCTTTTTATTTAGTGTTGCCCAAAATAGGTCTTGGTCTTGCACTTTGCAAAACCAACACCAAGGCAACTGTTGCAAGACCAATACGAGGACTGGTAAAAAAAAATCGATTTTTAAAAGAAAAATTAAGGTCAAATAGTTACTAATACTCGACAATCTTAGTTACTATTTGTTAATAATTGGTATAACCAATAATACTAATACACTTTTGCATTTAACTCCTCTAATTTTTCAATTGGACTTCAGCTAATAAGTAACTACAAGACTGTTGCGAGACTCTTGCGCAAGACCAAGACCATGACCAAGACTGAGTTTGCAAGACCAAGGCCTTGCATCCCGGTCTCCCATTTGGGCAACACTAGTTGTATTTAAGAAATAAAATATTATGTGATTAGATACAATTTGAAGTATATAAATTAATATTTTTTTATAAGACATATGAAAAAAATTAAATAACAGTAACTCTCCAAATTTAAAAAAAATATTTTTATGACGTTTCGGGGTCCACTTTATTAATTATCCCATCTTCAGACTATTACTCATCTTTCCATCATCTAATTTATTAAAATACTTATCATAGATTTTATTATAATAAATTAGCCATTAATTATAATTATTATATTTATTAATAATTTATAATTTATAATAATTATTATAATTATTAATTAGCCATTATTATTAAAAAGAGAATATAACTACTACATGTGAATAAAATGAGAATAATGAAATGAATTGACTTGTCCAGAAATCTGGACCGGACTAAATCAGCAACATATATAACATTCAGATCAGTATGAGTAATTTTGTTTGTGAAAAAATAACGAGCATTATGGAGTTTTTGGAAGGATTTTGTACTGCAATGATTGGGTTTGAGAGGATTTTGATGGTGTGGTGAAGGCGCAAAGCTCAAATGCAACAGTCCATATAGGCTTTATTATAGTCATTTAAATGAGCAATTGTCTAATAAGAGTTGAAGCAGCAGGGACGTCGAACAGTTTCTTTTAGTTTCAGTATTTCGGCATGAGGATTCCAAATAAGACATTTATATAAATATAAAGTTGAATCCTAGCTGAAAGCAATATTAAAGGTATTTAGCATACAATATTGCAGTGATTAAATATTAAAAATGGGCAGAGTAAATTCGAACGATATATTTTAAATATGTTATCAGTTTACGAAAACCGACTAGAAAATAAATTTTTATTTGTTTTAATTTGCTCGTATTATTTTTTTGCCTTTCACCTTATATCATGTATGTTATTAAGGTTTTCTTCTCGAGTTCGGAGGGAAAAATCGCGGTCTCGATGTTAATAGCTGTGATGAATGGTCCAACGATTTAGAAATTTCTGTTTGAAAAAGTTTCGTGAGACCGCCGGGCAACAGGCAAGGGAAATAGTCGCCCTGGGAGCCGACAACGCTCTGGGATCCATTTTCCGCGCCTTCTTTTTATTAGGAAACCAAGGAGAGTCTGGAAACGCCGAGTCATCGCAGGAAATTGTTCCAGCCTGGAGTCTGGAAGAATGGCGGCTCTCCAGCGGAAGAAGTCAGGATAATCATTTATAACTTTAAAAAGCGGTAAATCATGGGTTGCCGAAAATATTTATGACAAATTATAAAACATATTACTTTTAGCATTACTAGGCAACAGTACTTTTGAAGTAATAATTTTATTACTTAAGGAAAATAATTCGTTTAACGAAATATTATAAAAAAAGCAAAGAGAATTTTTTAGAATTCAACGTAGAAAGACACTTAAGACCCAAACAGTTGAATGTCTTTAAACAACTTAACCTAACCTATAATAAATTACTTATGCATAACTTTATTATAATTATAACCTCTTTAATTGAAAATAATCCCATACCATCGAATACAGAAAAAAAAATTGGTGATCTTTTTTTAAATTTAAAGTCAGGTCATTATCGCCTTAATTTTAGAAATTACAAAATTATATTGGGTAGTTTCATGCGTTTCAGAAAATCAAATATTTCAACTACTGTCTTGCGAAACGGTATGTTAGACAAATGACAAGATATTCTATGCGGTTCGTAAGCTCGGAATTTCGTTAAAATATATTCATCGGAATTCTAATAGTCAGTGGAGTCTCACAAGTTTGATATACAGGCAAAAAATTGCTTTTATTTTTAAAGATGTTAATTATAAAAAAAAGTCCATTCACCATAACCCTTAACTTTGATTATATATACGGGAATACTTACATGTTATTTTCGTAAGAATTATGTACATTAATAACGTTTATAGACCTGATACGAAATAAGAATAATTTTTATATATTTTAATAAAATTTCTTGTTCGCTTTTGATACCTGGCTTGTAGGATACTGAACAAATTTAGACGCAGGGAAATATCAATTTAGACTGTATTCCTCTCACATACTGATATAGTCCGCGACCCTGACACGTTCCTACTGAGAACTTCTACTGAAATTTCTTTTTAAAACTGAAAACTGTAATTACTTTAATATATGCATAATCAAAAGAATGTATAGATCACAGATTTATGCTGAAATATTTATAGAATCAAATAGTAAATTAATAAGATTAAATGAAATTGAAATTACCACGTTACGCCAATTTCACCAAGCATTGGTGTAGAGGTGTTTAAAAGAACTGATGGGAACTTTATAAGGTAAAATATTCCAATTTCAATAACAGATCGAAATTATTTTCAAATTTCATTTTGGAAAAATTCTAATCCAAGATTTAATTATTTATTCTTTCAAGACATTTGGAACTGCGCTATAGCGCGCCTAGGAAACACTTGGCTCATTTCTTTGACTTATTTGATAAGGATCTTTTGTTTGCATCGTTATTGAGCCAGGAGACCTCTGGGATAATTTATTTTAAAGAAGAAGTAAAATGAAGGAGAAATACGATCATATGGGCTATTGTAAGTTTAACTGTGAAATGCACAATTTTCGCGGATGTTAGATTTTATTATTGGAATGTTCATGCACCGGTGTACGGAGATGTATCATATTATTATATATTTTTTGTTGGAAGAAAGAATTTCTAAACCGTTTGCGAAGGTGATGCAAGAATGAAGTAATAGTGAATAGAACAAAAAGTTGCCTTGTGGTACGCCAGAACTTCACCAGAACCTCCAAGTTAAGAAGGAAGAATCTGTATTTAAACTATTAATCCAACAAATAAGTTGTATTGTATTATTATTTTATAAATTTGAATCTTGTAAATGTTCTGAGTTTTTTTTTTTAATTATGTACAAAGGAAGTGCAAACATATTAAGAGCTTAAAATGTTCGCAATACCTGCTTCCATTGCAGTTAAGAATTTTTTTATTTGAGTTATATATTAGTAAAAAGATACTAAAATTTACATTGAAACTGAAAGCTTGTAAATACACTGTTATAAGAAATAATCTTGAGGTTTAAATTATTGTAAATTTTGTTTTAGAAGGAAAGAATTGTATTAGAAAAATAAATTTTCAGAATTTTTAGGATATTAATAGTTCCGTTAAAGTATTAAAGTTATTTATTTTATTGTTTTTGTTTTTCTCGCCGATGGTTAGATCTAAATTAATAATATCAAGAGATATAATAATTTAAAGAGTACCATGTCATAGCTTATATTCAGTTAATGGTAGTTTAAATAATGTCGTGAACATTTTAAGATACACTGTTTCAGGTGAAATGTTTAAGGTACACATCCTAAAATAATCTTAAGACATAGCTTCGAGTTTAGGTATGCATAGGTAGGTTTAGACATATCATACTCAATTTCACAGTATATTCAGTTTCACGACTGATATATTTCGTGACTAATTATTACGATTAACAGTCTCTAGAACAAAATTTAATTAAAAATACATTAATGGATAATTTCACTTAAACGAGAGATTTACAATTATTATCTTAATATAGTTATTATATAGGTTGTGTCAGTTCTTAATGTCCAAACTCTGGGGAAAAGGGGGGGAGGTTCTAGACAAAATTTCCAACAAAAAAGTTCATTAGATGCATGGGCTAGAAAAGGAGATTAGAACAATTTTGTGTGTTTTTTCAGATGTTCTCTGTTTTTATTGGATAAGAAGAAATTAGTCAAAAACTGTTCGAAACAATTAAATTCTAAGTACATCAAAATAAACAATTTTTTTCTGAAAAAAAAAGTTGATTAAACTACAACTAAGGTCAATGGTAAAATAGAATTTCAAGAGGTCTAATAAGTCGGCTGTATTTCTGCAGTTACAGTACCCAGACACGAGCAGTGTATCTTTGTACAGCTATATCAGACCTGAAAGTCCCTTTTATCATTGATCATAGTAAATTTAATCACTGGTTTCTCAAAAAAAATTCTGCCTACTTTATGATGGTATATTGTAATTGTCTTGAGGAGTTTTTTGGAAATTCCTTCTTATTGAATAAAAAACGTGACCACATAAAAAAAAACATAAAATTGGTCTTAACCAGGTCTGGTCTTAACCTAGAGGCCGAGAACAAAAATAATATATCTTTGAAATTATACCCCATTTAGTATCAATATTCACTGATATTAGATAATTACTGTTGATTATTATGTGTTAAATTTATATAATAATAATTAAAACTATGTTCTTCTCATTCTATGATACGTTCTACCACTAAATTGTTTTTATTTTATAAGAATATGCTCTAAATACGGTCATTTCGTTTAGTTGTTACTCATTTTAAAAATTCTAACGGTCGCTGTAATAGTTTCGGATTGGTTCCTCCAGGATGAGACACAAGAGACGTAATTTCTTAATGCTCTTTTTTTTTTAAGCTCCCGAGTGTTTGTACCTCGAATGTAAAAATATTAATTACTCTCGGAGATACTTTGTTTTTGCCGTCTCTCACATCGCAAGTAATAAATAAAATAATTAAAACGCCAGCCAAAAGATTTCTTTGTACTTACCGTCCAGTTTTTTGTCACCATCTTCCCCGTCGTTTCCCCGGAGCAGTCGGGAAATAGCGCTCACCGAAGGGGCGTTGCCTCTGTCGCATAGTCCTTCCTTTATCAGTCTGTAAATAAAATAAAAAATAAATAAATAAATATATAATAATTATTAATAATAGTAACAAAATATGCAGCATTGGACAAGCAAAAACTTAATTAATAATATGCACCTTTTCATCCGTGACATGTTGAAATATATATTTTTATTTCTTAAAATAACTACTGAAAATATTATCGGTTATTGCAAAAATTCACTAACTACACTTTTTGGTGGAGCTGAACCATCAACGTTTTAGTTAGTGTTGCCCAAATGCGAGACCCAGACGAGTCTTCATTTTGCAAACTCAGTCCTGGTCATGGTGTTGGTCTTGCGCAAGAGTCTCGCAACTGTCTTGCAGTTACTTATTAGCTTATTACTGTGGAGATATTACAGTAATTTTTTAGATGGGAGAAACTTAACTAAAACCGAATGAAATGTATTTAACTAACTAGTAAAAAAAATGTATTTCATTGTTCTAGTAATGTAGTAATGTATACAAGGGGGTAGGTACTAGTAATGGACATGCCTCAGAAAAATTCTAAAGTTTTATTTAACTATAAAGATAAGATAACATAAATGGTTCGAACTAATCTTTGAAAAACTGTTAGTAAGGAAGGTATGAAACACACTGATCGCTATAGAAACAGCAATGAGAGGTATTTTTAAATTTTCTTTTGGGAAATTTTTTCGTACAGTTGTCAATAGAGGGCATTGTTCTTCAATCTAGAAAAAACTGGAACCTTTAAATCAACAAGGAAGGCTATTATTTACATTTAAAGTCTAACCTGTCCATCATTGGACCCGAAGTCCATAACTGGTACGTTTATCTTAAGTTAACTAAAAATCCTTTTATACATCAAATATATTTACAACAATCGAACAATTTTATGATTCAACAAAGAGAAAATGTATCTAAGTTTTTGGTGATGTTAATTTATGGAATGCTATCTATTGACTTTTTGCAATAAACCGTAATATTTTGCTATGACTTTAATATTATACATACATCTGAAATCAGGGAGTAGAAAAAGGGAATAGAAAAAAAAAATATATTTAAGTTTTTTATGGGAAAATTAAAAATCATTATTGATCGAAAAAGCATAAATTTTGTCTCCAAATTCTTTTTCTTTTCATAACGAAGCTTTTAATGCTTAAATTCCTCTCAAACAGGACACAACCATTTTCTAAATTTGAAGCTAATGATATTTTATGTTTATAAATCATTGAAGCTAATGATATTTATTTGACAATATTTATCAGCAAGCATCTAAATACTATTGAAATATTACACTTATATTTATGTTATTATTTCTAAATTACAGATATTTATTGCAGGATGCAAAGTAATTTCAGCCTTAGAAAATAAGGCTAGTAATGGCTGGGTTAGTAAAACGATAATTGAAAATATATAAAACAGTTCATTAACACGTATGGGAAAAAATAATGATTCAATTTTAATGAAATAAAAGTCTTTTGTGATAGATAACCGAAGAAAAAAGTTGGTTGCAAATTAGAATTAAATTATTAGACTTTTATAAGAAAATTTTATTATGTTATTAAAAAAAAAAATCATGAAAGAGACACATGCTCGTAATATTAATTTTTGTATTTTTCATAATCGTTATCGGCGTTATAAATGATGCTGTAAAACATGAATTATTCGAAATGTAATAGTAGATAATAAAAAATGAATCCCCCGAACTATCATTGGAATAACTCATTACATTTTATGCGCCATTTTCATCATTGCTATAAAATATTACATGAACACTCAATCAAACTCAATATTTGTCTGTATTAATGTTTTCAAACTAAAATATTTTTCACTTTGTGATGATTCGGTTTCTTTTAACTAGTTCATTAAAAAAATATTCTCTTAAACACAGCTGTGTTCCGTGGGTTCCGTTGAATTGTAAAAAAGATATATTCCTTTAATTAAAATTTATAAAATAAGAAAGTTGTAGTAAGTATTTGTTTGCAATTATAGAGTGAATATTTATGTGATTGCATTTAGTTTTCCTTATTTTAAAAAATAATCTATTCAAATTTTCTTTCTTAAAGAAAGCGTTTTGGTACGATTGGATCACTATTATTATTTTTTAAAAGGGCTACTTGTTTATGCATACATTTTAATATCAATGGCGATAAACATATTTATTCTCTTATATTACTAAAAGTTTATATTTTATATTTGTTTTATTTAAGGTTTAAGAAGTTTAAAACAAAAACAGTTCCTACAGAAAATAGATAAAGTATGTTATTCTTCAATTTTCAGTGAATGTTTTTTGAGTATGTACAAATTTACAACTACTGTCCACCACTTCAGTTGATATTGAAAAATTCAATCCTTCCAACGAAACTAACATAAACTCATAAGTTGTTTATTATGAATTTAGATTATTTATAAGTCGATAAATAAATGATATTAGTATTTTTTTTTGTCCTTCATTTTTTTCCGTTGGTTTTTAGATAACAAGAAAGTTTGTTATTTCGATTTTTTTATTGATTGCTTGTTATTTCTGTTATTTATTGATTTAAGAATTATAAGTTTCAAAAGAACAATTTCGATGGAATTAACAATCGCAATATTTTTATATTATAACAAACTATTTTATTTTTCTGGATTTTTAGTCCTAATACAATACACAAAATAATTGTATATTTGTTTTGTTTATATCTTTGACAGCTTGTGTGCTACATGCTTTATATAGCTACTATATATTTACAACTTTTCTTTAATCGACCTTTGAGTATTAAATTTTAACATAACCATTTAATTGGGAATAAGGTCACTTATTTTTTATTTATTTATTTTTTTTTTCATAAGATTTTGGGTTGGATCTGAAATGTTCTTCTAATATAATTTATTGTTTACCATTTCATTCATTCTTTATTCATAATCCCGTTTATGTATTGCGACAGTAATGCCTCCTTTATCCTTATTCCTAATTAAATGGTTATGTTTAAATATATATATATATATATATATATTTATATCATACTTTACGCATATTTTACTATATATTTTTATGTTGTTTCTTTATTAAATATTGTTTCTCTAATTACACATGTAATAATTTTACATGCACTTTAACGATAAATAAATATATATAATGCTATTCATATATGTATATATGCTTTGAAATATTTATTATTATGTATGCTAGGTAATAAAAGAATGTTTGGAATGTTGTAACAGATATATTTGTAACAGTTCGCTGGGATGATTATACGGTTCCTGTAAGACAACCCACCATCAAAGACAACCGGCACTTAAGCTGGTTAAGAGTGAATTATTTTCAATTTAGTATGCCACTGGCTTCATCTACTTTTTTTTTTCTGAACCATTCTGGTCTTTGTTACTTCGTAAATATTTGTTTTAGTATCCGCTTTTTCTCGAAGTCGACGAGTCATGTCTTCTGAAGAAGTTGGCAAACTCGGACAAAATTGGAACGGTTGCGGTACATTATTTAATAACGATTCTTAGATAAAACTATTTGTACTGAAATAAAAAAAAAAATAATCAAAACAAATCATTATTTTTCCAATTTAAAAATTCGATCATGATGAATTTTTAATTCATTATGCTGATATTTATAAAAATATATTATGAACTTAGCTTTAAATATTATAAACAATAATTAAATTTAAATATAATACATCTTTAAGCAGTTAAGAATCCGTAATGTGCTTTATTATATTGTGATTTTATTTTATTTAACTATTCTGGAAGTAAATAGCATTTATTTTTTGCCAAATTGTAGGATCACAAGATGTTTTTTTCTCGATATTCTGTATAAGTTATCTACAATATAAATCAAAAACATACAGAAATATGTAAAAAATTCACGTAAAGAAAATAGTTGAGCAAATAAAATGAATTAATGTTACTGAATATAAAATTATTCATCAATTCTTTATAAAAATGTAATAGAGGAAGGAAGAATGGAATATATGTGTAAAATAAACACTGTTATCTTTAACGTAGCAAAACAATAAATTTTAATACTAAAATAAACGAAAAACTCGGACAAAATTGTAACGGATACGGTACAGTATTTAATAACGATTCTTAGATAAAACTGTTTATACTGAAATAAAAAAATAATAAAAAAAAATTCACGTGTCAATAGATTTTTTGAAATAATTTTTCCAATTTAAAAATTTTATCATGATGAATTTTTATTTTATTATGCTGATATTTATAAAAGTATATTATGAAATTAGCTTTAAATAATATAAATAATAATTAAATTTAAATATAATATATCTTTAAGCAGTTAAGTATTCATAAGGTACTTACACTAACATATAATATACAAAGATTTATTATATTGTGATTTTATTTTATTTAACTATTCTGGAAGTAAATAGCATTTATTTTTTATCAAATTGTAGGGTCAAAAGATGTTTTTTTCACGATATGCTGTACAAGTTATCTTCAAAGTAAATCAAAAACATCCAGAAATTTTTAAACAGTTCACAAAACGAAAGTAGTTGAGCAAATAAAAATAATGAATGTTACTGATTGTATATAGTTATTCAGAAACATTAATTCATCGATTCTTTATAAAAAAAAGTAATCGAGGAAGGACGAATGGAAATATATGTGTAAAATAAACACTGTTATCTTTAAAGTAGCAAAACAATAAATTTTAATATTAAAATAAACGAAAAATGAATTAAAACTTTTATTTTTTTTAGAAAAAGATAGGTTTTAAAATAAAATAATAAAAAGAAGAATGAAAAAAAAAAGTGTCTAAGACTAAATTGTAAAAGATGTTTTCGTCTTATTATTATAGTTATTATAATTGTAATAATTATGATTGCAATTGAACTGAATTATTAAATAATTTTTAATAAAAAAAAAAACAACTTATTTCTATGTGAATATATTATATACTAGCCGGATTTCGGAGTTCTGCGTCGCTTCTCCGTTGTCCCCAACAATAGACCAGGGTTCTTTACTCTTCTCAAAGCTAGAACCGACAAGTTAAAAAGTTACAAAATGGACTATTCTGGCCTAAGTTGGGGACATTTTTAATCGAAAGTAAATTAAATTAATCAAATTTAAATTTAAATTATGTATCTATCAGTATGGAAAAATAGTTACTGTATTTTTTAAATAATGTTTCCTTTATATTATAAGGGATTGATATATATATAAAAATAAAAATTAGGACAGAATAATCGATTATGAGATATACATAAACAGATTTATTAATATTAAATATAAAATAAAATATTAAATTTGGCTCTATAATAACTATGCGCATATGTGCGAATTAGTGTTGTTAAATAATTAATTATTGTTATTCTATTTTGTTTTGAAAACAAATCTGAAGTTCTTATAAGATTCTATCTCCCCGCCGTGTCGTTTTTATCTTGTTTGAACAATTGGTGCAAATCATTTTACCAGAAAAGCAATGATTCGGTCCAACGCTTCAAAAAAATTACCAGTCAGAGTAACCATCCGCTATCATCTGATTATTATTTATTTTATTTTTTTTTAAAATAATCTAGTTAGAAAGCCTTTCGTTTTTTTTTTCTTACCCTAGCAACTTTCTCTAGAACATTGGGGTTTTCCTCGATTCTAGAAGAATGATTTATTAGGATAGAATCTCGAAACTTCCTGAAATTACTCTTACTGGCATGAATTCAGAAAATTTCTATCTATATTTTATAAAATATAATACAAATCAAAAATTGAATAAAGTGTAATAATAATATGTTTAAATAGAAATTATTGGAATAAATAGATTTCAAATCTCCGTGTCGGATTTGGATTAGTGCTGCCCAAATGCGAGACCGAGACGAGTCTTGGTATAGCAAACTCAGTCTTGGTCATGGTCTCGGTCTTGCGCAAGAGTCTCGCATTTATTCATTAGCTTATTACTGTAGAGATATTACTGTAATTTAGGGGTAACCTAACTAAGCCCGGATGAAAAATAGGTTATTTTAAATAATAACCTATAACACAGAAGATGAAATGCTGAACAATTCCCTCGCTTACAGTATGCAGGTAGGATTTTTAGTTTTTGAGATATTTTAATCCATGTGCCAAAAAACTTCAATTAGCCGACTCCAGCCGACTTTACCCGAGCGTTACACATCGGAAATCTGACTGCTCAATCTAATTCACTCTCCACATAAAAGTGCAAAACGCGCCTAAAGAAGTTTTCACTTCAAAACTGGTCAGGATGTGTTATAAAAAAATATTTTTATTGAGTTTTGAGGCAAGCATTTAATCATCTTTAGGACTAAAATTAAATAAACATATTTTTTTTAATGTACATTCTGACAATTTCATCTTTAAAAACTAAAATAATGATGATTTTTGCTATATTTTTTGTCTTTTAATTACATCACCTACTATTTTCGAAATAGTATTAGCAAATTTTATATCAAAACCCAAAATATAAATTCCTATTGGGAAATAAAAACTATTTTGGTTATTATATATTTACAAATTATATTTTTATTCCCACTCCTGTTGTAAATAGTTTTGCGATAGTAGTAATCAAGTAGTGTAGTAAAAAAAAATAAATATGGTATTCTTTATTTGATTACTGCAAAGCTAGAGATATTTTCTCAAATAGTATTTTCAATCAAAAAGTAAATTCAAAATGGCCGAGCTTAAAAAAGTAAAATAGGGAATAACTGATAAAAAAAATTATAAAAATCAAAAATGTCGCTCAACAAAATTAATTCAAATCGGTTATTTCAACTACTGAAATAAACTGCTATGAAACAGAAAGTGTCCGTGACGTCACTACAATGGGCATCCTAGCTTTCTTTTGACGTTACCAAAATCTTATATATATATATATTTTCTTTCTGAGAATATTCTCACAGAGCGCTTTTTCTTCATTTTTTCTCATCGATTTCCCGGAGGAAACTCAAAACTGTTAATGTTATTATTCGAGAGGAAAAGGATATTCGCCCCTTCCCCCACTCCGGCCTCCGTTCTGTAAGAAGGATCGAGAAAAAACAAAACAAAAAAAAAAACAGCTTTCACTCTAGGACCTAAATTCGGCGGCTGGGTACAACCCGTGACGTTTCGGATAGCATTGTCTTCGACATCCCGAATAAAAAGCCAGAACAATGGAGGAAGGATTCGGATGGTAATGGGTGGGTTTTTGCAAGGTTGTATAACAAGTTGCCAACATGTCTGGTGTGGGTGGGTGGTGCGACGTCATGGGAACCTCGCTCTACCAGCGCCTTCATGCTTTCCATCTTTTACTTCTTTTAGTTTGTTACGTAAGGTGTTCTTTAAATGTTGCTGGTAAATATATATTATTATACATATTCCCACATATGTAATTAAACGATTATCAATTTTTTCGAAAGAAGCAAAGCCCACATGCCAATAGAAGAACCAAATCCTGTAAGCCAAAAACCTAATTACATTTTTTTTAAATTACTGTTGTCCAAATGCGAGACGGAGACGAGTCTTGGTCTTGCAAACACAGTCTTGGTCTAGGTCTTGGTCTTGCGCAACACTTTCGCAACAGTCTTGCAGTTACCTATTGGCTTATTACTAGAGACATATTACTGTACTTTTTTAGATATGAGAAAACTAACTAAGTATGAATGAAAAATTAGAAGAGTTAAATGCAAAAGTATATTGATTATACCAATTCTTTACATATAGTAACTAAAATTGTCAAGTATTAGTAGCTATTTTGCCTCAATTTTTATTCAAAAATCGATTTTTTTACCAGTCGTGGTCTTGGTCTTGCAACGTGCAAGACCAAGACCGATTTTGGGCAACACTAGTTAAAATTGGTGAATCTACAGGGAGAGCCCCCACCCTCCAAAATAGAAAAAAAATATGTGTTTCTTTGATTAGTCCACATCTGTGATTCATCTGAGCTAAATACTTAATTAATCAAAATATTTACTCTTTTTATACACCGACTAAATATAAGCACGTGTCAGAAATAATTTACCCCTAAAAGCATTATTATTCAACTGGAAGAACGATTGGCATCAAAAAGTATTTGAATTAAAAGCCTTTCCAAATGGAAAACTTCTTACCGAACCTCCAGAAATATATAAGAAACAAATTGGATATGGCAAAGAGCCTAAATGAAAACGTGATTATCATTCAATAGTAAAAATTCGGAGAAAAATCTTCGAATTTTAAAAAAATATTAAACTCTATAACAGAGTGTAAGTATAAGGTGTTGCCAGTGACCATGCAGGGTAGAGGCAACAAAATAAATAAATATTTTAAGGAACAATTAAATATCATTTTGTATAGTTTCTTGTTTTTATTACAGAATAATGAAATGAAATGAAAATATTTTTTTCTATTATCCTGGGACTGTTGTTCCTTAAGGACAAATTACTAATTAATTAATTATAATTAATTAAAATAATCAGTCATAATTTTAAAAAAATAATACACCCAGGAAAAAACAAATTGGATCCCACCGTTCGTAAGGGGATTAATTTTATACTTTAGGGGAAGAATCACATTAAAATTAGCCTGTATAATTTAACATATACATAATAAGTGGTCGTGAAAAATTCTATTAGATTTTTCAACAGAAATAAAAGTTTTGAAGTATTAAGCAAGCACATAGTATTGCAAAACGGTCTGTCTTACAAAAGAGAAGCACAATTCTTACAAAAATGAAAAGACCTACGAAAGTGAAGTTACTTAAGGAAGGTATATGCCGTTATACCTGTTATGAGGTTATAGCAACCTTTTCCCTAAAATCGACTGACCCAAGGTATTAACTTTTATTATAGATATTGCTTAATTTTCTCCATCCCTAACGATTTTGATTAAACTCTTTATAACGAAGTATAATAGTCTTGAAGATCCCTTCGATTTTATTATCATTGAAGTATTATGACCGTTCTTAAATTCGAATTTTTATAATGTATTTCTCTGTAAGTATGTTTGATTTGGTTTATTTGGAATAAAAACCTGTCTCATCTTGGTAGCAAAAAAAAAAGCAACAAAAAAACGAAAGGCTGAATATAAAATAAAACAATTCTATAATTAATTAAAAGAGCAATTCTTGCTTAGGTTTGTTTATTTGTTTCTATGTCTAGACGCTAAACACCCAATAAAAAAAAAATAAAAAAAATTAATAGAATAAAATAAATAAATAAAGATAATATTAGATACTTATAAGGGTAAGAGCTTCTTTTGTTGCTCTATCAGCCATTTCGTTTCCTTTAACGCCTGTATGCTTAGGTTTTAAACGAATTAATGAAAATTATAGTAAAAATATATACGTATAACATATCTTTTTAAAGCTAATAATTGCAGAAAAAATAATTTACAGCATATAAAAATGTACAAGTCAACGGAGTGACAAAAACTAATTAATTTTTATTTATTTTTAAAATACTTGTAATTTATACTTATACAATATTCAACGGAGAAATTTAAATAGAATGTCAGTAGAAATTGAGTAGATGCTTTTATCATTTTTTTTTTTAGATTGTTCATCATTTATCATTTATTTTTCCGATTTCAGACATTAAAATTATATACACTATCATGAATGTCCTTCGAGACAGATTGTAATATTTTTCAATAAATAAGTTTAAAAAAAAATAATTGTGTGTAAATTAAAAATAATAATAAGTGCATACTGCTAAAAATATTTCAAGTAACGTTCACGGATGTTTAAAACATATGTTATGTTAAGTTATAATTATAAATATGATGATTGATTTAAATAATTATAATTCGTCTATTGCGAAAAGTTATATTTTAGAAAACTATATTATTCAGTAATTTGATGAATATTCCTTCTCTAAAATCACAGCATTGGCCACTTACATAAGTGGCACTACTTTTGACATCTAAAATATGTTTTTATAATTTGGATCAACGCTACAGGTTATTGCATTAATAAATATGCTGAAAATTTATTTGATGTTTTGTAAACTTTATCTCTATTAAAAAAGAATTTTATTGAAATTTGTTGTAATAAAACAACGATATTGACTTATTACAATTTGTGGAAAAATTAATTGAAAATTGAAAATTATGTGATGCGCTTAATAATTTTTTTAAAAAATAAAACAATAATTTATTCTCAACATAAGTAAAATATTAATTATTTCTTGTAACAGATTTTAAGGAGGGCGGTATCCGTAACGAAAAAATTACAATAGATTACAAGGAAGATACCGAAATTAGGTTACAACATCTTTACATCACTGGATCCGATTAAATTACCTGCTCAAAACCGTTATATAAGTAACTTAAGTTGAGTTTCCTCGAATTCGCTCAAAATAAGAGATATTTAAATATAGAAATGTACAGAAATTAATATGAATTATCCCGATACCTTAACTAAAACTACAAAATATAGATTATCTTAACTCCCTGATAATGCCCAAGTTGAGTTGATAACTATTTATTGCTTTTTGAAAGAACTTTGGATTTGCTTCTGGGTCCAATAATATATTCCATTCCATTCTTCTTGGGTTTATTGAATAATCCCATCTTATCTTTAGGGATGTGAAATCTTTATTCATCACAAACCATATTGAACTTCTTTAAGATACTCCATTTTCAGTCTAAAGGTTCTTTAAGAAGCGTATACATGTTCATAGCACTTCATTTAACGTTTCTTTCTATTATAGACTTCTTAGAATGCGGATTTATTTTTATTTTATTTTTTTATCTCCACTTCTTATTCTTTTAACTTCTAAAAAATATTACCGTAAGATGGGGTTACTTTGGGACTGGGTGGGTAACTTAAGGACACCGGGTAAAATTTAGTTCGTGATGATTCCGTTGTGGATGCACTGCGTTGGTTCAGTCTGCAAAAATGTGCTTTGTTTTGACATGTACTGCGCTACTATCTTGTGACAGTTTGAGAACCCTAGGTCACTACGCTCGTTGTGCAGTCAGTCTTTGTTTATTTCCATTCCTTTTTTCAAAATTCTTGTTTTCATGACATATTCGCTTGTGCTTCAAGAATAGTGTACCGCAAGGCAGTTGCACAGTACAAGCGCTGTCCATGCTGAATAAGCCAACATAGTGTATCCACCACGGAATCATCACAAACTAAATTTTATCCTCTGTCCTAAAGTGACCCACCCAGTCCCAAAGTTGCCTAATCTTACGGTATATGTTAATTTGGATTTTAACAATTTTCATATTATTTTTGCGTTTTTAAACTTTTTTTTATCAGTTTTATATACAATTACCCTGGTATAATTTTTTTGTTTGTTGTCAATTGAAACTTTCCAATACATTAAAATTTTAGTCCTTAAGCCGTAGTGTTGTCCAAATGCGCGACCGAGACGAGTCTTGGTCTTCCAAACTCAGTCTTGTTCATGGTCTTGGTGTTGCGCTAGAGTCTCGCCACAGTCTTGCAGTTACTTATCAGCTTATTACTGTAGAGAAATTACTGTATTTTTTTTTAGATGAGAGAAACATAACTAAGCCCGAATGAAAAATTAGAGGAGGTAAATGCAGAAGTATATTGAATATACTAATTATTTATATATAGTAACTAAGATTTTCAAGTATAAGTAACTGTTTTGCCTTGATTTTTATTCAAAAAATCGATTTTACAACTGTTAGGCGGCCTTGGTTTTGGCAAAGTGCAAGACCAAGACCGATTTTGGGTAACACTATTAAGAAGTATTTGATATTATCTTTTTAATCATTGATAAATATATATTTTTATTTTTAATATTGTTTTAATTATTTTGATTTATAAAAAATAATGAATTAATTCTATTTAATCTTTGATCCTTCGTCCTTTCTTTTGGTTCAAAACGTTTTTTGTACTAATTGAATATTTTAGACGTTTTATTGCATGTTTAGAGATTTTTCACTGCATATTAGATATTTTATTACTGCATATTTTTTTTTTTTTTTTACTGCATACAAATATCGGTCCCGGTTATAAGCAAATAGATTTCATAGAAAAATGTATAATATGCAGTTGTTGTTATTTTTTAAAGGTTTTCCACTATAAAAAGTAGGGATATATATGGTAAGCTGTGGATGGACGAGGAGTTAAGTGGTGGATTACAAAAGCGGCCACTTGCCATGCAGCTTTGAAAGGAATCCTGGAACGGTACAGGGAAGACTGGACAATGTAGTCGGGGTTCACTGGACTGCCAGCCCGGCCTACGGTCGTTTTTTTAAAACAGCGTCGCCATCGCTCCAAAATAGAAGAAATTTTGTCACCACGCAAACAGGAAA